TTCACTAAGTCAACTGCTTTAAGTTTCCCTAATAGAAGATACTCTAAAACAACAACAAAAACAAATAAGATAAATACAAAACTCCCCCAAAAAACTGGAATTTAAGAAATATTATATGCTCTTCTATAAAACAGAAATAAAATTTGAGGGATATTAGCGACTCAGTACAGACTATGTTACTGCACCATGCAAATATGATTTTATTTAAAATAACTAAATATTACTTTTTAATAATAATGTGTTATATATCAGTTTTTTGTAGACACTGACAAATAAAATTCACCAAAATATTTACTATGATTCAGTGTGCTGTGATTGACACAGATTTTTTTTTTTTTGGCCAAAGTATAAAATGGCTGCCTTTGTCAATAAAGACATTTACTGTGCTTATAAGATAAGAATAGGGAGATTGAAGCCTTCACTCATTCATTCAAAAGAATACAACTGAAAATTAGCATGGTAGTTAAGTAATGTCTAAACTGGTATAAAAAATGGGCAAAGTTGCACACGAAAGCAGAGTGGATATAAATGTGTTTAAGAAGAAACAAGGAGGAAAAAAATGCATAGATCAAAGGGAAGAAGAAATGAAGGAAAAGGGAAAGAAGAGAAGCACTCTAGAGACCATGAAACCAAAACAACAGGATGGTTTTCTAAAACATAATATAATCACATAAAAAAAAATTAAAAATTTTGGGACCCTTCAGCTGTTCTAATAATGCACAGGAAGCCAATTCATTAAATATCGGAGTGATTTTTGCCGTGTAAGTCTATGATTTTTACTTTTGGAAAAATACAGGTTATAATGTGTTAGATAAGGAGGTTATATTGAAATGAACACTACCAAATAAAGAAGATCTGTTTGATGACGTGGTATTGACATAAATTCACATCTTCTTAATATGTGAAGATGGAAAATAAAAGCAGGGGCAAAGATTTCTCTAGTTGTCCAAAGACTGGTAACCATAAACTTGACATATTACCTAGTCTAAAAAATAATAAGAATTATAAATGGGTGATAATAAGAAATATAGGATCAATAGAGCAAGTCATGCCCAGCTTGCTTGATTTTTTTGAGCAAATCGTTTTGACTGGTTGGTTTGGGTATATGGTAGAATACATAAATATACAAGTAAAACACATAAATATACATTAAATTCAGCAAAGAATTTAACAAACGGTTTTGACTATCCTTGTCAATAATATAGTAAAATGAGGTTGTACTATTGAGTAAGTTCCCAGCCTTACCATCAGAATATCTATGGACACTATGGAGTGTTCATTTATAGGGAATAATCTCATGTATGGCCACACCAAAGTTCTCACAGTGGCTTGAAATAAGGGACAAAAATCGGCAAGTGACAAAATGTTAGAAGCAATAAAAACTAAAAGTAATAGATGGGATGATGAAAGATTAAGTCAAACTGCAAAAGATCATAATATATATGTGATGAGAAAAATCTATCAAAGTAACAATCGATGTTACTAAGCATAAAGTCCTGCATTTAAATAAAAATGAACATAAGGAAAATAATTAAGTACACAGCATAGAGTGGAGAAAGTGGGTTTAGTGAATCTCACACAGTAAAGGTCTATTATCTTTGTTTATACCTCTGAAATCCAAAATCTTTGAAATCTGAACGTTTTATCTGATGTTTTCTACCAAAATTCAACTGGAAGCAAAACCTTAACTGAACTAACTCAAGAATATCAGTCTCTATTTATCCCGTTGTGATCATTAATATGCTAATATATAGTAGTGAAATGTCCGGCATGATTGGAGATGCTCATTAATATATTAATATCAATACATAATAACAAAATGTCTGAATACCATGACTAAGAGATGCTGTTTCACATAACAGAATGATAATGTAGACTCTAGCACATTCCTAAAATCTGAAAATGTCTGAATTCCAAACAATCTGACCTTGAGAGTTGGCATAAAAGGCTTAGAAATTATCTTAGACAAAATTATAACTAAACTGCTGAAGATCAAAGAAAGTGTTGGTTAAAATAATGAAAATTAAATTGTTATTCTTTAATCATGGAAAAATAAATAACATAACCTATTGGGGCAACATGTGGATCATTTAGCACTAAACATTTAAAAAGAATGTTAAACTAAGCTGGCTTCTCAAAAAACTTCTAGTATTCTAATACAGTACGGTGACTATAGTTAACAATTTATTTTCTAATTCAAAATAGCTAGAAGAGAAAATTTTGAATAATCCCAACACAAAGTAATGATAAATGTTTGAGGTGCTAAATATGCTGTTAATTGCCATGATTTGATCATGACATGTATTCATGTATCAAAAATCACACTATACCCCATAGATACACATAATTATTAAGTTTTCAGGAAAGTCATGATGTATTTTTTTATGTTTTTCTATACAATCATGCATCATGACTTTTCTGATAACCCAATATTATATGTCAATTTAAAAAAATAATAATTTATCTGGTAGCTCACAAAAGTACCTGGTATATAGTAGGCCCTACATAAAAATCAGTTGACTGACTACATGAATAATTAGTATGTATCATTTTTAAAAAATCAGATATGTTGATTTAGCCAAAGATTCCCAACCAGTCTTTCTTGATTTCCTGTCCAGTGCCCAGGTTATCTAGCAATCCACTAATCACTGTGTGCTTGGCAGCCTCAGTAATTTTCACATGATACTTCAGACATGGAAATGTCATTCTGTGTCTTCACCTGTTGAGACCTTGCCCATTTTCAAAGATAAAAAGCTTATATTTTTGAAGAAGTTTTCCCTAATCCTTCCGGGGAGAGTTCATCATTCTTCTTCTATGCCCCTACAGGTAAGCAATTCACATTCTAGAATAAATCTTATTTTTGTATGTGTGTCTTGTTTCCCAAATTTAGATTTAATAGCAAAGGCTACAGTTTGTACCTGCCCTTTACTTGTGCATATTTATAATCTATAAATTATTGAATTGAATCAATAGAAGGGTGAAAGATGAAAAACTAAATTTTAATCATGATAACTAAAAGAATATAAAGCATTAGCTGAGATCACTGTCTGTTTTTCCTGGCTAGTACATCTTCGACACTAGTTTAATACCCAGCACTTAATAAAATGAAATTATTAAACAAATGAACTAATGTCTAACCCAGAGAAAACTCAGATGGTACATGAAAACCATTTAAAAATATATAAGGTAGAGCTAGCTGGTGGTGTATGGTTAAGGCTCTTGTGTCCCATATGGCCAACTGAGCAATCTGAATCCCAGATGCCGTGGCTTGAAAAACACACTGGGTGATGTATGTGCATATCCAAAATCCTGAGAGGAAAATGAAAAAGAAGGGATCGTGTCATGGCCATTCCCCTGGAGGGGTTCATATTCCTCTCTCTCTTTCTGCCTCTCTCTCTACTTTGGCATGTGCTTGTGCCCTATAACAAAAATGAAAAAAAAAAAAAGTGAAAGTCCAATATGTTGTAGTGTAAGAATTATTATATATTGTTACAGAAGTAGAACTCCAGCTCACACATGATTTTAAACAGAGGCACAAATCTCATTACATAAGACATTTCTAATAAGAAACACAATGATCCAATAAGAGGATTCTTTATAAACCAACCAGTTCTCTACCAATGGTCCTGACAAAGAGTAAATGATCTACTGGAAAAATTCCAGGACTACATTCTTCAAATTAAATTTCCTAGCTGATTGAACTCAGATGTTTTTTTAAATCACCTTCATTTCATAGAAGTAAAATTTTAAGATTTAGGCCTCCTTGTATTTTAAACACCAAGCTAAAACCATGTAATACTAAATAAAACTTAGCTTGGACTGAATGATAAGTATTAATTAATCATTTCCTCCTTAAAAAAATAGCCTAAAGTCCTCTAATCGGAAGTATATTAATTCATCCCTTGTGAAAACAATAATGATCACATGGACATACAATGAAATGATCCTAGTAGTATAAATAGAATTGTCCCTTATCCAACTCACCCATTGTTTTTATAAAAACCTTTTAACAATCTTTTTACATCAGTATGATAGGAAATGATGCTGATATACTAAAGAAATTATAGAATTAGACAGATTCTAGTCAAATTTCCAAAATAAAACCAAAAAAAAAAAAGCCTCAAGCTGGTTTTCCTGGTGGAGAAAAACATACATACATACATACATACATGCATACATGTATGTTTCGATGCATGTGTGTGCATATATGTATCCCACTGTCATAGATTTTTATCATGTTTTGTTACTTTAAAGAACTTTCAGATGATTAAGAAATTAGATTACATCAACTGTTAAAGCAGGAAAAATATAAAGCACCTAAAGAAATTGGAGTTCTGGGCATTTCTCCTAGACCTCATTGCTACTAAATGCTGAAGAGAGACTTCAGTTTTGAATTTCTAATTTGTTTATTCCACCAGGTAAATCCTCAGAACACAGTGTTCTCAAATTCAAAGGCTAAAGTGATGAATGTGCTTAGAAAAGTAGGTGTACAAATGACTATACTTGTTATGAATTACCTGAAAGGGACTGTGAAACTGTAGATTTAAGATGTATTTGTTTTGTTTTGTTTTTAGATTTTTACCATAGTGCATATGCATTCACCAGAGAGAGAACTAGACAGACAGAGGAAAGTGAGAAATCTCCCCCCAGGAGTTAAGACCACACCACAATCTCTCCTCCATTCTCCACCTGGGGTTTTGGACATGTAGACACATGCACATGGTGTGATCTGCAGGCCACCAGGTCTGGGGCTCAAACTGTGGTTGGCCATGTAGGAGTCCACACCTTAACCACTACACCACCTGAGGGCCCCACTTGAAGATGTGCTTTAACTAAAGGTAATAAATAATTCATTAAGCACCCTATAAATAGAAATTTGGCTAGACAATATCTCCTTCTTGAGGGTAATAAGGGCTTTAAAAATACTTTCTTTATACTTCACATCTTCATTATACTGACCCAGCAGTCAGACCTCTCCCAACATCTTCCCATGTACAAACCTCATCTCCTTCTTGTGGTCGCATCAAGGACACCCTGTCGTACTGTCGTCGCAACAAAGCCCAGAGCGCATCAAGACGACCCTGAAGGAAAATGGGCTTTGTAAATACCCAGGGAAGGTATTTCACCTGTATTTACTGAATAAATGATAAGTGAAATGAAAACACTGAAGTCTTATTCTCTAGCCCCATCTCTTGCATAAATTAAAACAAATACATACAGAAGATAATCTTGGGGTTTCTGATTCCCAAGACAATATTCAGTTGTTAGAGTAGAAAATGGAAAAATATTTGATCTACCTTAGTCCTCTTTCACATAGGTGAGGGGGAAGGTTGGTACTAAAAAAACTACAGTTTTTCTAGGAGGTTGAAGTTAAGTTACATAAAATTTGGATAAGTACCTTTATTGGCGTGTACCATTTTGTCTGTGGAGGCTGGTGTATGGGTTTGGGTCGAGGTGGTCTAGGTCTGACGGGTTCCTCTGCTTCTTCAGGAATGGTCACCACAGCATTTTTGGCTTTCTCCAGTCTTGCACCTTCTTCAGTTGATCCTTTATCACCCCAACGAACCTTTAAGACAAAGGGAAGATTCTGCGATCAGATAGAAAGTGTCACAGAGGAACAAGCCTTTGCCCAGCCTGTGGTTCTTTGGTGCACTCTCTCAGAGGAAAAAGATAAGTATCTCCTAATTATTCCTCATATATGAGTTTTCTTTACTTTTATAAAATGTTACTTTATAAAGTAACTTTCAGTGTTTAGTATGCTCATCTGAGTTTGGCTACTTGACATATCAATTTTTCCTTGAAGAACATAAATCAAAAGAAACTACTTTAAAAAGAAAGATCAGGGAGACCAAGGAATTCCACAAGTTTTAGGGAATTTCCTTCTCTGAAAACTCTTGGCACTAAAAAACCACAGAATCGAATGGTTGTTTTCTTTCTTTCAAGAGATTTTGCTATAGAGCGCATGCATTCACTGGAGACACACAGAGAGACAGAGAGAGAAAAAAAATGAGGAACTGTCCTCCGGAGGGGCTGGTCATGCCACAATCCCTTCTCCTTCATTCTCCTCTCAAGATTTTGGGCACCCACACACATGCACCCAGCATGAGTTGCAAGCTACCAGGTCCAGGACTCGAACCGCGGCAGATCATACAAGAGTCTAGTGCCTTAAACACAACGCTACTTGCTGGCCCCTGTTTTCTTTACTTTTCAATGAACAAACAGTAAGGGCTAACTCTGAGTCAAACTGGGTACATGACTAGGATGTGTCCCCTGGAGAATGCCCATCCAGAAGCAGTGAGGAGTCCTACAAAGACCAAGGACATCATTAAGATGATGGAGATGAGACAGTGGTACTCTAAAAAGAAACCCAAAGAGCTGCCCAGGGCTCACTATAAAACACTACATTTAAGTGATTTTTACAAAGGAAAAAAAAAATTAAAGACTTATTAAAGCATTTTAATGACCTGAGTTAGTATATAGGGATACAGATGATTACTGTCCATAGAAAGAACTATTCAGAGCTTTTTGATAAAGCTTACTTAGATGTTCTTATCCTTTTTTACTACAATTTTAGAAAGGGCTTTCAATTTCAAGTGGCCCCTGTTGAGTCATTAAAATGTATCTGTATCTTTCAGTGTGATCAGGGTACTAGAATGTTCTTTATGAGGTTGTTAAAATTGTTTTAAACACCATTAAACCTTTAGAGCTAGATACTTGGCTTTCTTTCCAAAGAAATGACCTTCTCTTTCAAATCAGTGTCTTCACCTAGAGAAACTAACATTTATAAAATCTTAAGACATAGCTAAATTGAATTAAAAACTCTAAAACTCAGACACATATCCTTATAGTAAAATCTCAATTTGAAGGAAAAAAACAAAAACAAAAGGAGATGCATAATTAAGTAAACATATGAATGTCATAACTCAGAGAAGTAATTCAGGGTAGAAATATAAGTAGATACAATTTAGACCCATTTGGAAATAGAAGATTTTAGTATATATAGTTCCCCAGCCTATCCTTCACAATTGACATAGAAGCAGTGGTAATCACATTCTTCTTTGAAATACCACTGGCACCATTCTCAGATAAAAAATATGAAGCTAGTTGAACCAGAATTCTGACCTGTTCATACATACATATACATATAAATATGTATATGTACATATATATGCACATATACACACATATATGCCTACATACACATATATGTATACACACACATATATACACATATACGCACACATATACACACATATATATACATTATATGCACACACATACATATATATATGTGTGTTCTGACCCATACATGAATAGATATGTACTTATATGTATGACATAAACTTTAAAATTTCATGGAAAATGGAATTGAAGTATAATTTTATTTATTTGGGGGCAAAAATTTTGAAATCCAGGCATAATATTCTTATAGGATGTATCTTCCATAAACTTTTGTTCATGGCAAATGCATATTATATATAAAAATACATATAATATAGATATATGTATATTTATATATGTGTGTGTATAGATATGATAGATAGATAGAATAATGATAGATTGCTAAAGGGAGCCTGAGCAGAATTAATATTTCTAGCTTTTTAATGTGGAAAAAAACAATAAGTGGGAGCTTGATAGCTAAAGTCTTCCAATTCTACTTGGCTTTCATTATAAACGATGAAACTCTGTAATTTTCAGAGCATATTTGGATGACTAGGAGGTTATATCATAGCGGAGCAATTCCAGAATTGAGGAAAGAAACAAAAACAGCTTCACGCTGAATTGGCAGAAACACACATTTGAAGTCATTAGGTAATGTGGATCAGTTGTGCTAACAGCTGTTATTAACATCAGCTCAGTTCCAGCTTTCAGTAAATTCCCATTACCATAGTGTTTAAATATTTAATTTAAAGGAGGACTAAGAAACATATTCTAGGTAAAATTCCTTATCCTGACTTAAAATAACCTTAATCGTGAAGATTTGTTCTGTAATTTGATACACACATCATTCGTATCATTTCTATAATTCCTTTTATTTTCCCCAGTTTGAGGGTTTTTTCCCTAAAGGAAGTACTTTTCTGGTTTGATTAGGCATGCTTTTACAAAGATTATGTTTTCTATCTTACCTCTCCAAGGTTAAATAAGTGTGCGAGAGTTTAATAATGCTTAATTCTCAGTTCAATGTTATTGTGTATTTTTATATATTGTGTGTCTCTTTTGTAATGTCCACATTTGCTCTGCCATTTGTTTTCTCATTTTCATTTCCATCTCTTCCACAGAATACTCCATACAATGTAGCCAAATTTATCCAAAGCCAAAATAAGCCAAGATTTATTATAAGTTGACTGAGTCTTTTGCTCAAATTTTCTTCAACTGAAAAGAATGGGTTGCTGATATAATTTCATATATTAATAGTCTATAACTCTTTTTTTTTTTGGAGAGATTTTTGCTATAGGGCGCGTGCGCTCCCCAGACAGAGACAGAGAGAGAGAAAGCGAGAAATCACCCCCCAGGGGGGGATGGTCATGCCGCAATCCCTTCTCCTCCATTCTCCTCTCGGGATCTTGGGCACGCACGCACACACACCCGGCGTGAGTTTTAAGCCACCGGGTCCAGGACGTGAACCGCGGTTGACTACGTGGGAGTCTAGCGACATAGCCATTATGCTAACTGCTGGTTCCCCATAGTCTATAACTCTTGAAATCAGAATTATGAGTTACTTGGGGATAGTCATAAGCTCTGGTTCCAATGAGCATGAACCAATAATGTTACGTTTAACTCATGACCCACTCAAGGTCTCATGCATATTTTTTCTTTAGAAAGAGATCTCAGTCTTTAGAACATGAGAATATCTAACTCACAAAAATCTGATTTTATTCCTAGTTTTTTTTTTCAGCAAGAACATTATTCAATTAAGGCTCACATACACATATAGCTTTACCTCATTCCCATGCGGTACATTGCATGTATAGATTTCAAAATGAAATTAAATTTATTACTGTGAATATAAAGTAGTATGTGCTCATTGACAAACAAATTAGACTAAAAAAAATCAGAAAATATATTGCACACCTTGAAAATTACTCCATCCAGAGAAACCTACCCACATTTTTTGGTATAATCTATCAAACCTTTTTTTCCCCTTACATATAATACATCTTTTTATATGTTGGAATAGAGCCAAATAAACTAAAAGTGAGTTGTGAAGGATCACATGTGGATATTTGCATGTAAAATTTTGCTAATAAGTTTTTTTTTTTTTGGAGAGGTTTTTGTTATAGGGCATGTGCGCTAGCCAGACAGACAGAGAGAGACAGAAAGCGAGAAATCACCCTCCAGGGGGGGATGGCCACGCCACAACCCCTTCTCCTCCATTCTCCTCTCGGGATCTTGGGCACATACACACATGCGCCCAGCATGAGTTTAAGCCGCCGGGTCTGGGACTCGAACCGTGGTTTACTACATGGGAGTCCAGCAACATAGCCATTACACTAACTGGTGGTCCCCTAGTAAGTATTTTTTATACATATAGGAACATCCAGGCCACTCTTTTGCCACTTTTCCAAGTCTACAATAACACACTCTTCCTTCTTCGTCAAGCAAGAACTAGCTTAGCCAAGTTTTTGTATTGTTCAAGATTCTCAGTTACCCACATACTAAAACGAAACCTATATATTCCTCAAAGACCAATTTAATAGCTTCTAGTACATGCTTTTTACCATGGCTCTTGGCAGCAAGATGCTTGAATATTTTGAAAATATTTTTGAAATAAAGTGGACGAATAGTTTTATCATCTAATGTGGCTGAGAAAGTGACGATCACTGTCAGGTGGCTGGATTAAACATTTTGCTAATGACAATTATGTACAGATATTCAGGCTTTTAAAAAAAATAGTGAAGTTTATTCTGAAAAAGAAAAGCTCTTTTTTTGGGATTATGAATTTTACCAAAATGTATCAAAAAAGAACACTACAGCACTTATGAGGTTGTTAATTAGATGACTGATTTTGCAGACAATAACACAATAAAGCCAAGATGACAATAGGAGAAACGTATAATGACAGAAAACTGCAGCGGCACAGGTGGTACCATGCTGAACTCAGTGCTGGAAGCCACGTGGCCAACTGCATTTGTGTTCTAAGTCGATCTGAAACCTGCCAGATGTATGTACATTCAATGTCCTGAATAGCTGGAAGGCTGGGAAAAGTGGATCATAACATGAGAGACAAGCAAGGGTGGCTGTCTCTGTCTCTGTCTCTGTCTCTCCTACTCTTTCTTGCATGCACATGCTCTCATTCTCTTTCAGGAAATAAACTTAAGAAAAAATCAGTAAAACTGAAGGTTAACTAATAAGGAAGATGTGCCAGGGTCTGTGTTAAAGAATAAAATCAAAGTGTCATTTAGAAAATTCCTTGAATTCCTCCTTGGGATGGGATGCTGGCCTATCTACCATGCTATTTAGGGCTCAGTGATGGCAATAATTATTTATTATTAATTCATTCAAAGTGATGGCTTTGAAAGATATTTTGTAGTGATAAGACAACTTCATTTAATATAAGATATAATATGAAAGTTCAATCGTAATCCACTCATTGAGTCAGTCTAAAAGTTCAATGTGTTTTCTAAATGACATGCAATATTAATTATGGTAATTCATAAGTAGTCACTAAAATCTGCTATGGAGTTTAAAATGTGCTTCTTCTATATCTGTGGTAAGGTCATCCAGATTACTGAATATTTTAACATTTTCTCTCCAAATAGTACATAACTGTTGGATCTTTTCAAAGAAGAACATTGTTGCAACTTGAAGTGACTGGCTTCTTCAAAGTTGATGTTCTATGCAGTAATTTTTTCCAAAATAGTGAGAAAGTCTCTGGCTTTAGAATTCAGATATCTTATCAATGCAGTCCTCTGACTAATGAATGCAGTTTTTCTTCAACCGTTTTGAAATGGCAGGGATGATTTCACAGGAAAAAATAAAAAGTGGATCCAGAAAAGACCCAGTGATAAAATGGATGATATTTTGATAGTGAATTATAAAAAGTAAGTTTTCATGGCTTAATAGTCCTACCAATACATATTCTAGATCTGCAGTTTCTATGTTGTTTGTTTTTTTTAAAGACACCAACCTCCATTCTTTTAATCCCTCCAACACCTCGACCACCATAGTAGGACGCATCCACAGTTGGCCATTTCTTGGTAGGCAGAGGCTCTTCTTCCTCCTGTGGATATACAATGTTTAAAAATGGTTTTAATTAATTTCCTAAAATCCTCTTTAGTCAGAAGTGGCCCAGACATGTTTTTCTGATTAATTCCATTGATTCGAGAGGACTGTAGAAATTACATACAGCACACGTGGATGCATTTATGCTCACGTGCATACATTTTGAGTGGTGTTCTGTAGGATACGAGGACTCCTTCCCTACCTCAAAATTTAGGAATCTCCCTTTTCATCATCCCTAGGGGGCCAAAAGTTTCTGTTTATCATTTGTTTATTCCAAGTCTATTTATCACTTCATACGAGAAATAATAAAACATTGGAAATAGGCTACTTCATCATTGAGGGCATCAATGTATGTGTAAGTTTGATCTCTGTGAAATGTATACTGAAAAGTTAGACATTTGAGAGCCTGTGAAAATATATAACACTAGCACATTCCTTATTCCATGTTGATAACATAATTTTGAGTAATAAACAGTAATTAAAAAAAACAGTAATCATATTTTTGCTTTTTTACAAAAAGTTTGCCAAAAGGCACATACGCTTGTCAGTGAATAAGAGAAAGTAAGGAAGCTCCCCCCATGGGGAATGGTCACACAGCAATCCCTTCTCCTCCATCTCTCCCTCTTTTCAGGATTTTGGCCATGTGTGCACAGGTACCTGGTGTGTTTCTCAAGCCACAAAGACTGGGACTCAAATGGCAGATATAGCATATGGGATCCAGCTCATGTAACCACAAGGCCACAGGCTGACCCAGCAATTTTAAAGAAAATAATAACATGCTTAAATTGCCAGCTTAAATCTTCAAACTTTTTCTAAAAAAAAATGTGATCAGAGGCCAAACAGTGGCACAGTGGTCAAACATAACGCTGTGAGGCTGAAGGCTGGGGGTAGATTGCAGCCCAGAGACACTGCTGGGGGTGCTGTTTCTCTCTCTCTTTCTCTGCCTCTTTTTATCCCTCATGTAGGAAAAAAATAAATTTAAAAAACGTTATAAAAGAACTACAGATATACAGCTATAGAAAGTACATTAAATCTCTATGTACTATTTATCTCTACAGTCAGGCTCTACTAAAAAATCACAGGAAGATGAAAAGTAACCATTGTTTTCATAAAGTAAAATGTCAATACATAGGTATTAGAGTTATTTAACAACAAATAAAATTGATCAAATATGGGGGGTGATATTTATACAGAGAAAACAAACCAACCCATATCCTTTGTTCGGGCACTCATTTACCTCTTTTGGTGCAGGAGGTGGTGGTGGAGGAGGATCCTTGATAACCTGTCAAAAAAAAAAAAATGAATATAAAGACTTCCATGGCACAGGGAGGAAATAGTAAGGATGTGTAAAAATAATTAGAAGAGCAAAATACCAAGGTAGATCCAAGATATCCCACAATGAACCTTGCCTTCCAATATTGATGCTCCTTTTTAATCTGTGCTTGCCTATAACTTGTTTTTTTAATAATAATTTTTATTTAAATAAATTTACATATAAATCTTTGTCATGTACAGTGTGGTTTTTAAAAAATATATACAAGGTATAATAATCAAATCAGGGAAATAAACATATCTACCATCTCCAACATTTATCATTACTTTGTATTGTATACATTCTAAATGTGTTATTCTGATTATTTTGAAATTTATATTAAATTGCCACTAATTTTCCTTTTTTTTAGAGAGAGATTTTTACTATAGGACATGTGCACTTGCCAGAGAGACAGAGACAGAGAGAGACAGACATAAAGCAAGATATCACCCCCCCTGGGTGGGAGGGGATGGCCACACCACAATCCCTTTTCCTCCATTCTCCTCTCAGGATTTTGGGTACACATGCACATGGGCCTGGCATGAGTTTCAAGCCACCAGGTCCGGGACTTGAACCACAGTTAACTATGTGAGATTCCAGTGATATAATCATTATGCTATCTGCTAGTCCCAACCACCAATTTTCTTCACTGTGGCATAGCAGTCTATAACTCTGTCCACTTATTTACATGCACTCTTATATCAGTTAACCAAGTTCTCCCTATCTCCCATCCCCCCCTTTCTCCCATTCCCCTTTTTCTAGCTTCAGGTATCCACCATTATTACATTTTCTATTTCAATGCAATTGAATGTTTCATATAGCTTCCTCTAATGAATGAGGACATACAGTATTTGTCTTTTAGAGCATGGCTTATTTCACTTAGCATTATTTCTTCCAGGTTCATCTATTCTGCCTCGAATGATAGGAGTTCGTCTGTTCTGATGGCTGCGAAGTATTCCTGTGTGCATCTACACCACATTTGCTTTATCCATTCTCAGCTATTGGGCACTTGGGCTGATTCCACCTCTTAGCTACTGTGAATAGTCTGCAGTAAACATGGGAGTGCAGATATTTCTTGGACATGATATTTCCTTTGGGTATAAATCCCATAGTGGGATTACTGGATAGTCCCATAGTGCTATTTTTAGTTTCTAGCTTTGACTAATACTATATAGAATGAGTTACAAGTAGCACCATCGCACTTCTGAGGCTAGGTCAAAAGAAGCTTCTGAGCTACCCCTGTCACTCCAAAATACTCATTTCAGGGAAATTCTATTTTAATTTCATAAGACTCCTTTGAGACCATCAAATGGAAGAAACCCTAAAACAATCTTATGGAAAAGCTGGGTGATAAAAGAGACATAGAATAGTCCCCAGCTGTTTCAGCCACCCCAGCTGAGGTGCCAAGCATGGGAGGAAAAAACCTCTGTAGGACATCCAGGCATGCTAAGCTTTCCAAGGACCATCCCAACTGACACCTGAAGGCAACTGTAAGAGAATTGAGTGAGAATGTCCTAATTGATCCAGTCAACCCACAGAGCTGCGAGAATATGGAATGTTTGAAGCTACTTGGAATGAAACAACTTTTTAGTCAAGATTTATTCCCTGTGAATCATTAAGCAAGAAGTCTTGTGATTGATTTTTCAGGTAGAGGCAAGGAGCCTAGCGCTTAATTTGAAATAACCTTTACTGGTATTGGGGCATATGAACTGTTACCCCATTATAATAGAAAGTCTTTGGCCACGTGCCAATGGCTTCTGGTAATTCAGGTACATATCTTTACATTAAGAGGAAAAATGTTCTGAAAATGTAACTGCTTCACTTCATCTAAGGTCAAATATTTCATTTATGTTATAAAATTTTCAAAAACTTAAAACAAGAGCAACTATGAAAATGAGGTGCCACTTCAACTTCAGCAGGTAATTATTATTATGGCTTGGTATGTTATCATGGCTATTTTACTTTTTAAAATTTTGCTATTGGGCATGTGTTCTTGAGAGAGAGAGAAAGTGAGAGATCATCCTCCCAAGGAAGAAGGCCACACCACAATCCCGTCTCCTCCGTTCTCTCAGGATTTGGGACACGCATACGCATGCACCTGGCATGTTTTTCAAGCCTCCAGGTCTAGCACTTTAGCCACAATAAAACTATGTGGGTTCCAGCTGCCTTAACCACCATGCTTCTGGCTGGCCCACAGATATGTTTTTTAAAGGCTGCTTATCTTTGAAAGGTATATACAAATATTTCCAGGTAAAATGATATGATTCTGATATTTTCATCAAAATAGTTTGAGGTAGGGAAATGAACGTGGATATATTAGGTTGTCGGGAAAGTCATGATATATTTTTCTGGTTTTTATTTTTTTTTAATGCAAAAATGCATCATGACTTTCCTGACAACCCAACATAATAGATGAATGAAATTAAAAATAAGTTAATCAGTAGAGCTGTGTGGTAAGGCTATGGAGGATTCATTATATTAGTCTTTCTTTTTGTAAAAGTTCAAAAGTTTTCACGATGAGTTTTCAAATGGTAATACTACTGATAATGTTGAGAGAATTGGCTTATAAATTTCTGCATGCATAATATTTTCGTCATTTAAATTTTAGTTTAGATTTAAACCTCAGAAACTGTAACAATTACATAAATAAAACTAGACAGTAATTTAACTTGACTGAATCTCTTTTTAAATGTTCCGACAAATGCCATTATTTCTATTTAACTCTTTCATTTATTCAATTTTATTTTACCAAAAAATATAAAGTTTCAAATGTTTTAGTAATCTTGAGAGATAAAAATCTGTGATTTTTTTAATGACTAGCCCAGATATAAATACCAACAGAAGATTATGATTTAAAATATGACTATAGTAAAACAAAAATAAAGTTAAACTTATCAGGCTACAGGTACATTTCCCTTATACAAAAAGAAGCACTGTATATCTTTATCAACCTGCATGCCGAAAATAATCAATGAAAACCAGATCTGTCAACATTTCACACTCAGCAACATAAAACGAACCCAACCATCCTCATTTAAGCCAGTGCCCTTCTTGTCTCCCCTGTTTCTTTCAAACAAATCACTCTGCAGTTACAGCCTCAAAATGCTGGCATAATACACAATCTCTTTCTCACTTGTAACTGGCTTCATCAAATCATTTCCATGTCCAACAGATTCTTTAAGATTTTCTTTCTTTCTCTCTCTCTCTCTCTCTCTCTCTCTCTCTCTCTCTCTGCAAACGCCCTCAAGAAGTCTCCTGATCTCCCCAAAGCAGGTGAGATTCCCTTCTTATGCACAGATGCCTCTTTGTTCTTTCCCAATTTCTGTCCAAATTGATCATGTTTTCTAGCCCCCCAAAACTGTAAACTCCAGAACAGGTTTTACGTGTGCTTTATTCCTCACTGCATTCCCATGGCTTAGTAGACTGTAGCATGAATAAGACTCAAGGACGTGAGGAGAGTTAGGAAGAGAGGAAAAGTGAAGTGGGAAGGAGAGAGAAAAGGAGGGAGGAAGGGACCAAGGGAGAGAGGGAAATAGAAAGAGAGGGAAGGTGGGAAGGAAGAGAGAAAAAGGAAGGCAAGGAAAAAGACTGCCGAGGAGAGAGGACAAAGGATGAAAAGAGGATTCTTTTTATTCATTTCCTATTGTCACTACCTAAAATCATAAACTTAGGATTTTCTGGACCTTAAAAGTATCTAGCACAACATTTTCAACTCCTCCAATAGACACAATCAAAACTTTGATACTCTGAAAAATTCTCACCACGTTGCAGTCCAACTATGTTTGAATTGCTGCAGTAAAAAGAAATCCACTACCTCACAAAGCAATTCATTTCACTGGCAACAAGCTCCTATGATTTGAAAGTTTTTCCTTAAAATGAGGCCAAAGCTTCTCTTTCTGTAGTTTCCACTCTTTAGTCTTGATCCTAGAGTCTAGAAACACAGACACACACACACACACACACACACACACACACACACACAGAGAGAGAGAGCCAGTTTTTCTTCCAGAGGAGAGCAATTCCTATTTTTGAATACTAGAGTAATTACCATATATGTACCGTGTCTACCCATCTGGAAGCTAAAAATGTCAACCATTTCTCATGAGATGGTTCTGAGTTATTTGGCTATCTTGGTCAGTTCGTTTAGTTTATTTGGTCAATATCTCAAAGTGTGACTTCCAGAACTGATCACAGCATTTTAAGATGACCCAGCCATTATTAAGTAAATGAATCATACTCAGTCAAAAAACAGATGCACCCCTGCCTTTTCTCACACCCTATGTAACAAACATTTTAACTAATCACAAAATAATAAAATTGGTTGATAGTTTATAAGCACCATAGCCTTTTCTTTCTTTTGCATCAATGGGCACAAAGCCTATAATGTATGTAGCTAAATTAGACGTCCAGTTTGTTTCTCTAACTCATCTCTCATTCTAACCTATGTAACCATGCAAAAATTCTTCCAGCAGAATCTTTATCAGTCATTTCTCTGATCAAAATGGACTCATGATTCCAATACCCATAATTCAAATCAATTAAATACTGAATTTTATTAGAAGGACCTTACAAATCATGCTTCCAGTCTTAGTTGTATGAGTGCCCTATAAAAGTGCTCTCTGGAGTTTTCTCACTACGAAAAGATCAAGGTACATCCTTCCATTCCACCAAGTCAGAGCATAATTCAGTTGAACTCATTTTCATTTCATCATGAAGGTTTCAATTTACTCAGTTATTATCTGTACATCTTGCACTGGTATATAATTTTCTGGGGGCATAAACAGCATCCTCATCCGTTTTATTTCATAACCTCCTGAGAAGTACTGAACAAACTTCTCTAACACTTCCCTTTTCTTATATCATATGCATTATCCTGTGTGGCATCTAGTTTAGCAGTGATATGGAAAACAGAGTTTTGATTTAAAATCCTCTTATGACCATTGCTGTTGAACACTTAACAGCATCATGAG